TTTACGAGGTTAGCTCCAATAGCGTCCAAAAATAAAAGATGAAATTAAATGTTTCTGTCCTTGGAAAACTAATTTTAGTATAAACTAGGAAAAGACCAAATCTACTGTTGGTATTTCTTAAACCTTGGGGGCTGTGGGTGTGGGCTTTCCTGATTTAGTAACACTTACGCTTTTGTAACCATTTTCTGGACAATCCTGCTGTCAGCAATGTTTGGTTTTCACCAATAGCAGTACGTCTATTGACAAAACTAAGTAGTGAACATGTTGTAGGGACTAGACAAAGCAGGAGAGAGGTGGGTTTAAAAAGATACTTGACGTCTATCAGAATGCCTAAGCATAAAGACTTATATCAGAAGATTACCACATTTTTTCTGATTTAATATGAAAAACATGAATACATTGGTTCACATTCAATAAATCAACACAGACCAAAAAATGAGTGGAAACTAAAAGTCCATATAGGTCAAATGGAAAAAGAACGTTGATATGGAAAAGTATGAAAAGAAATGGTATGTTGAAAAAACTGTTTCCAAAAATAAAAATAGATGAATAAGTAGATGAATGAGTGAAACAAGAACCAAACACCACTGGATCCAGAATAGAAAATTGCAAGAGGAATAAAAAAAAAAGATCAAACAGTAAGAAATCAAAATTACAAAGGGGCTTTAAACGATGTTGTTAAATTAACTTTTTAAAAGGAAACGATAACCGCGTCAGAAATGAACGCATTTTTGACGAATAAGCAATGCAGTTCTTTCTCAGATTATGTCTTAAGTTTACTTCAACAATATAGCTGTTATTCTGACCGTTAAACAACTCAGTTCTGAAAGACAGTAATATTTGTCGTACTTTTGCTATTTGCAAGGTAGTTAACCTTTGCAATCACTGTTTGCTGATAATCGGTAAAATGGAAAAAATGGCGTTTACACGGCATTTAATCGAAACCATTTTAAACTAAAAATAGATAAATACTTGCAAGCATACTCGTTTACATCTCCTTTTTATCTTTCTTCATTAAACTGTAAAGCGATGGCGAAACCAAAGAGTCCAAGCATGCAAATCATATCTGTCGTACAGACTGTTGAAAATGATTTTGACTTCCGGCTCCTGCTAAATTTGACGTGCTAAAACATCGATATTCCCACCATACTGTATCCAGTAAGAAATCTGTTAAACGTTATAATAATGTTTCAAAGTCTACACAATATGGAATGTGAGATGTTCATTTGAAATTTTACTTTGGCCGATTATACTGAAAATGGTAAGCTAACTTAAACCGTAGTATGAATATTTTGAAGGGGAAAAGTGTTTTATAGTCACACTGAGAGTAATTTGAAAACAAAAATACGATGGGTAAAGAAAAAACATCTATATTATGTTTATGAAGGACGGAAATTTAAAAAAATAGACTCAGGGTTTTTCTCTGACAGAAGTAAGTACACAAAGTCAAGGATAGTACTGGGTTTAGTACGTCTGTTAGAAATGGAAGAACATTCTCGCTGAAATGCAAAGAAGGATATGGCTGGGGAAGGATAAATAAAGATTTGTCTCTGCGTCACGAACTTTTGTGGTCGTATTGTCCTATTGGTATCTGCTTATAAATTAGCTGAACAGTTGAACAGCACAATGATTTGCTGCAGACAGGAGCGTTTTCAGCATTGATACTAAATATTTCAAATTCAAAGTTGAAAGCCAGCTGATTCCTATCAAAGTTTAATCAAAGTGTGCTCCTGGGGTGAGGTGATGCACTTATCAGTAGAAATATCAAATAACTAGAATTTAGGAATGTTGCAAAACATCTTCCTCCGCACGTACTAATTACAGCACCTGCCTCTTATCATATTGGACTGCTGACGTCACAGACTGAAAGAAGAACCGATGCTCCTGGTAAAAATAACTTGGTAGAAATACAATTATGCTTTGATGGTGACAGTATTCTTCCTTTGTATCCTTTGAGTGTATTATGTATTATTTAGCCTTTTCAAATTTATTTTTCAATTCTGTTATAATCTTTATAAAAGCACATCTCAAAGGGGTCGTTAGCGCATTACTAAAGGCCCTTGCTGACTCGTTGAGAGACAATGAAAGAGAAAGGCAGTAAGTGAAACGTTTTCTGGAATTCTAAAACAAGTTAGTCTACAGAGCTCAAGTATATAATTGGCCATATTCTATGCCTCCCACGAAGTTGAGTTTGTTTCAGAATGCTCTCAGGTCTGCTGGGGTTATAGTATAAAGCTTGCTATAGCGCTATAAAAATGATATCTATTATATTGTATTCACTGGAGCTGTTTCTTCTTTTTTGTATACTTCTAAATGTCAACTGGGGAGCCGTTATTTCACCAGTATATTACAACGAGCTGACAACTCTTACTCTCTACATCAGACAGCGTAAATGGAAGTAGACGTCACAGATACCTGACTGGGCGTAAACAGTAGCAACGTCCAACTTATAGGATCCAAGCACCCTTGACGTCTTGAGGATACGGCCAGACTGGCACACCTAGGAAGGAGGCAGGCATAGCAAGTCATGCAAGCCGGAGATCTGAGTAAACAGGACGAGTTCGTATCTGCAGGATTTTGTCGAGACAACAAACCAACCAAGCATGGTACCTGCCATGCATTGTTTAGACCAGAAGCCAAAAAAAAAAAGAAGAAAAAAAGCAGAACCCAAACAAAAGACACAAGGGAAACATGCAGCCTGGAAAATCCCAACAACTTATTAAAATGTAATGTTGAATTGTGAGATTTGACAAACAATAGTTCAAGTATACCCCCCCAAAAAGGCAGATTTTGAGAAAAGTTGGAGCATTTCCATTGTCAGTTTTTTGAGAGACTAGAGAACACATCTACTGAATATACACACATCATATAAATATAACACACATATGTGAAGAGTGCTGACAAAACGAGTTACTTCTCGGATTTGAGCCCTATGGAAATATAATATATACATCACGTGTATAGGTGAAGTTATTACACTTTATAAGTATGAAATAATGAAAGGCATATTACTTAAAGACTATGGCATCAATAGAAAATCTACAAATTTGATCCTAGTGTCGATTTTTGGCCAATATCTCCGTTTGTGGATTGCGAGGAGTAACTCATTTTGTGGGCACTCCTCACATATAATGATTGGGTATAACTAGCATACACATAGAAGTTTTTGCAAAGTAGGAACAAGGTGCATACATGATATAATATGTGTGTGTTATATATTTATGTATGAGTTGCAAAAGTTCTGTCACACCATTTATATTACGATAACTTTCGCTACAGCGTAAGAATTGCTGCAAAAATTAAACGTATGACTAGTGTGACTCATGAGACTCCTTGTGCAAGAGCAGACGAAAGAAATCATAAACTGGAAGTAGTATGAGGGCAAAGTGTTGGTATTGATTTCTCTCGGTCTGCGTTGAAATCAACGCTTCCTACACACTCAATTTGCTTTGAATCACGCAGAAAATGTGTGAACACACCTTTTACTTTAAAATTCCGTACTTTTAACATATGGGTCGTTTTTTCACCAGTTTTCAAAATAACAAAACTGATAAATGCAGAAAATAAAGGCACTGTGTGTACGATAAATTCTTTAATTGGGCTTTTTGCAGTTGCAAGACACGTACATGTGTGCAGAAGGACCATCCAACGCTTGAACAAACGTTTTAACAACATTAGAACTGCCCAAGACAAGCTTACAGTACACGTGGCTTACCAAGGGCAACAACTCGACATCAGAATTGGGTCTTTGTCCACACCCATGTTCGAAACTCGTCCCAACCAAGTGCAAAGACTGCCAGGTATTTCGGACTGTGTCAAAACACCATTATTAGACATTTATATGATCTTGGATTACATGATTGGTGCCCTCTATGTGGACCCATTCGAACCCTGTTCCATTGAAGAAACCGGAAAATTTAGGCACAACAACATTGGCAATGAATCTAAAGACGTTGGTAAAGTGTTCTATTCAGTGATGGTTAAGGTTTTGTTTTAATTCTTCGCATTGCTGGAAGAGAAAAAATGTTTTAAAAAAGAGGATAGAGATTTTACAAATCCGACCTCCCCCAAGTGGCCCAAATCGGTGGCTAATGTGATGGCATGGGATTGAATCTCTGCTCTTTGTCGTACACATTAATTAGTTACTTTTCAAAGCAATCTCAAGGGACGACGATATTGTGACGAAATTCTTCCTTACGGTGACTGCCCAACATGACACGGATGATGGAATGTGCTAACAAGACAACGCCTGACCACAAATGATCATGACCAGTGAAAACTCTTTCCAAACTCATCCAATCATTGTTCTGGACTGGCCTGCAAGATCAACAAGGCATACTTAACAGTACAGATGACCTTGGCTACTTGATTAGAAGCAGGCCGCGCTCCGAATAAACTCATCAGGAACTGAAGGCTGCACTTCACAAAGAATGGCAGTGGATTTTTTCAGATAACATAAGGACATTAATTCAGTCAATGAACAGGCGTTTTGTAAAAGTAATTCAAGCTGGAAGAGGCCACACGCGAGACTGAGCAAACTGAGATGTTTTTGTATTTTGCAGGGGTCAGTGTGAATAAATAATATTATCTGTCTTGAATTTTAAAAAGTCATTTTTTATGTCATGTTGGCAAAAAATGAATAAAGATCATGTGTACCAAATTTTTTAAAGGCTATGTTGAATAGTAAATTGAACTATTGTACTTTTAAGGTGGGTGTGACAGAACTTTTGCAACACGGTATATATATATATATATATGAATGAGTGTGTGTGTGTGTGTGTGTGTGTGTGTGCGTGTGTGTGTGTGTGTGTGTGTGTGTGTGTGTGTGTGTGTGTGTGTGTGTGTGTGTGTGTGTTTATGCACATACATATTGCGTTTTCAATTGAGAAACTGGGATCTTTCCATACTCTTTTTAAACACCAACAGGAAACAGACAAATCCATAAGGAATAGACCCGAACAACAGGAAGGAAAACAGTATTTGGGAAAACATGGGTACTATATTAGAATACCAAGTGGATTCTGGAACCACCTCAGCATAACTTTTCGAGTATCGTAACCTATCTTTATGTTGCTCTCCAGTGGATTAACCACCCCCCCCCCCCCAAATCCCCTGCCAGAAAAAAACTTGCAATAATACACTTTTAAATATCAATTGAAATCATAACTTTCGCTTTGTGTTTATCATAATATACTGCAGTCTTAAATTTAGATGGTTATTCACTTCTTAACTATTTTTTCCCTTGTCTGAAAACCTTGCTTTACAGTTCAGTTAACTTTTGGGCTAGACATTTTGGAAAATTATGAATTTTTGTTTTAATCCGGTTAAAATCGTGAATTTCAAGTAACTACATATGCAATTCTAACACCCCCCCCCCCCTGTTCCAAAAAACAACAACAACCAACAAACCCCCTAATAAACAAACACTACTTTTCCAGGTAAATTAAAGTCGACGAAAAGTCATTGCTCTTTGCGCTACAACTTGCAGAAAGGACACGTTCGTAGATCCATCGATATGAATTAGCATCGTATACTACAGGTATAATCACGTCTCATAGGGAGACAGGTCAATCATATCCTGCCTGTCAGGGCCAAGTCGTACAAAGCGAGAAGCAGCATTCAAGACGAAAGATGACGTTTCCTTATAACATAGATTTACACTCAGATTTACAATTAAATAGGGAATTGAACTCAATTCTTTTAAGTGCAATTACAGTGAAGAGCATAACCGTTACTCAAGGGACACCAGTGGTTGTATAGAAACATCTATAAAACGCAAAATAACATTTTGAAAAGGTAAAAGACTGACAAATAGGACCAAATGAATGTGCACAACATGCATTTCGAAAACATGGATTTAGAAAACATGAAAATGCACAATGCAAGCCAAAACATTCCATATCTTTGTACAAGGAAATACATGTACAAAAAGAAAACAAACAAACTTTAAGCCGGCGGAGAAACCAAAAAAAACAAAACAAAAAAACAAAACAAAAACAAACAAAAACAAAAAATATATATAGAAAATCCCACAAACAGAATGGCACAAATTAGAATGATATAATGATGATAAGAAAAAACACAATATGTATAAAAAAAAGTGTGAAAATGTATCTATTAATAGTACCAAGCGCTCGATAAACGGTGGCGACATCTAACTTGAAACTGCCAACTATAGTGCCGGACCGCAGGAAGTTACGAGAGTGTAGCACCTAGGGCATAACAAAACACATTCCGTTGTTGGTTCTTTCAAATCTAGACAAAAACACTTGAGCAAAGACATAATAATATATCTAGATGGTGTACGGCGACCTCAAAGCCAGGTTGGCCAACCAAGCAAAATAGACCGGTTCAGAGACGGTCAACTGAAAATTGTTTCGTTAGCTAAAGCGTGAAAAAAAAAAGAAAAAATAGAAAATGTGACCACGCTTTTTTAAAACTAACAATACAAATAAATAAACGAATCAACAAACAAACAAATCAACAGAAAAAAGCATTAATATTCTAAATCGATGGCGATATATTATTTTATTTCAAGAAAATGAGTTACAAATCAGCGTTTTAAAATTAGAAGGATTTACTTGGTTATAATTAAGTAGGACTAAAGCAGGTATGCTTATGGTTTTGGAATATGAGAGGGAAGAACGACCATATTAGACACTGGCAAGAAATGTACTTTTTGTAGATCATAACAGACAGCTGCAACGGCAAACCGCCTCTCGCCCCCGCTCACGAAGTTTCGACCTACATTTCCTTAAGTTTGCAAAGGTTATAACCCATAAAGGAACAAAGGCCAGTAATCTAATACTGGTGTTTTTATCACGAAGGAGGCAATGTTTGCACCACATTCAATCAGCCTGCTTTTAATATTCAGAATAACAAAAAAAAAGGTCAAAGGCTTGTCTCCAATAACAGGAAATAATGCAAATGACCTCCCAGAATTCTCAGTTTGACATTTGGTATAAGAAAATAAAGAAACAAGGAAGGGAAAAGAGTGAAAAGCTAAAACTTAATGCACTCAACGAGGCCCATAGCATTATGTTGAAGAAACAAAAACAAATAAAAAATAAGCCTCGAAGAATTAAAACAAAGGCACTATGAATAAGCACACAGTCCCCTGAGGCATCCTGCAAAAACCACCCAACTGCACCTAGAAAAAACACTCTGAATAGCCTTAAAAAGCCGAATACTGGCTGAATCGATACCGAATTCCGAGCTAACATTTCGTGCGGAGTATTACATGATCATTGTTCAATACCCCCAGGAGACTGATTCATTTCCTGGAACCAGATAAAAGTATAGCAGATCGTTAATAATGCCCTTTTTACTACAGGATGGAGTCTGGTTACCCTGATTAAAACGGGCTCTTAGATAGCACCATTCGATTTATGCGAACCGATGTGCATCGAGCAAATATGATTCGTCATTCAATCCTTGAATTTGTTGTGTCCTAAGAAGAATCGAAGCCCTCCAATGATGTTTAAAAACACCTTTTGATTT